TTGAAGGCACCTGCAAGCCCCTAACATGGAAGAGGCTGAAAGAATCCCTCCATTTTTCCCCTGGCATTTGCATTTCCCTGAAATAGAGATTTCTTATTGCATCTTCTGCACCTGCTGTGAAACTTAACTTCTGTTACCTTAGAACCAATTATAAACTTGATTGCAGCACAATCTACAAGAAAAAGAGATGGCTCCTGCTCCAAAAAGAGTTGACACTGAAAAAGGCTTATTGCCTATGAATGCAGGAAAAACCTGTTTTGACCCTTCTGTGGGGCTGCAGTAAATGCAAGGACATGCAAAAATTCCAGCAACCCCCATCTGCTTTCTGGATGTTTTTTTGTACTTAAAGAAACTGTGTAAACAATAATAGACTGACTGGTCAGGAGAACTTTAAAAGAAATATTTCTCTTTGTAGAAGAATAAATACTATGATCTATGAGAGAGATTTTTTAGAATTATAACTGCTGCCTCTGAAGTTGTGCACGACTGCTTCCCCCAGCATCTGATGTGTCACCATTACCATTAATATCTGTCAGGATGGTTACAGATTCTGATTTTGAAAAAAAAAAAAAAAAAAAAAGAAAATAGCAGCACAACAGAAGTGCTTCTGCTTTTGATATTGGAGTTTAACAGCTCCTGTGAACTGTATTTAGTGCTGTCAATGCAGACAAATATTCACTGCATTTTATTGGAGCAGGCCTCCTGCTTCCTCCTCCTCCCTTGTGGCAGCAGGGCCCTTGGATATTCCTAGCTTGTCCTTAATGCAAATACTTTGAACCTGCATGTGCTCATTTTGGGATGACTTAGATAAAAGCCTCCTGAAAGCTTTGGGTTTATTGGATTCCTTGAGCACCTCAGTTCAAGAGAGGAACTGGACAGTCCCTGAAGCACTGAAGCACTCCTGAAACACTCTCTGATTTTGTCTCTGCTGCCAAGAAAAGCAGCAAAGAAAAACTCTTCACACTACACTCACTTTTCTTGAAAAATAGACAGGTCCAGGCCTATCAGCCACAGAAGTTTCATGAAGCTGAGCTCAGGATCTCAGACACCATTAACCTTTTCTTAGATACTGTTGGGGCAAATGTACCACAGGAACATTGCTGAGCTCTCAGCATGTGGGCAGAGCCTTGGAACATGAGATGGAACATGATGAAAGTGGTAAAATATTCCAATAAGATCAATTAACAGAAGGTTTTTATTTTTTTGGTGGCAAAATCAGAAGTGGGTAGCTGTTGAGTCATAGATGGCATGATCAGAGAAAGAGAAGAAATCCAAGGAGTGCAGAGAAGCATGCCCAGAACAGGACAAAGGTACAGAATAACACTTTTTTGCAGTCCTGTCATGCCACCCACAGTCTCATATTGCTGGAAAATATCACACAAACTGATGATAGTACAGTCTGTTCACTAAAAAGCCACCAAGCACCATGCTGAAGGCCAGTAGCTGATGAAATGGAATACTAAGTGTGGCTTTGGGCTGTCAGGTGCACCATGGAAAGGATGGATTTTTCCCATAGGCATTTTGCATAGTCACTTACACCCACAAATAGTGAATATATCACACAGCTATTCCAAGTGTTTTTCACTTATTCTGGAAAGGCATAAATGATGACTCATGCTGTAGGACAAATGAGAGGAATGAGCCCTTTATTAACAGCCAAAATTAGGGAATGTGTTCCCTCTTGCATTGAAATTAGTGGCTCTCTTTCTAATGACTCTGGAGCTCTCACTCCAGGGTGAGGGGCCCCATTCTTCCAACAGCTTTGTGAGACTTAATTTGTCAAGACTTTGGCTGAGATCAGAGAAAAGCTGAAGCATTTTTTCTGAGATGCCAGAAGTGAGAGCTTTTTTGCATTCTGATCCTCTGACAGATTTTCTCTGATCCAGTATCTGCCATTATTTAAACAGCTCAGTTGGCATGTGTGGCATTCTGCAGGCTAGTAAAAAGTCAAGAAACATGCTCTGAGGATTTAATCATCCAAAAATTGGCATGTAATTTAATGAGAAAGGACAAAATAAAGCAAGATAAATAGAAAATCGCTCCTGGGAATATTCCACTATATTTTTAATTGCAGAGAATGCAGATCATTCAGGCTCCTTCTCTTTCAGATTTATTTCTTTTTTGAATGAATAGACATGCAAGAGAGAAAGAGGTCAGGCTCAGCAACCCAAAGTTCCCCTAGGAAGGATGAAACAGAAGCTACAAAGAGAATAAAAATTCTGGAACCAAGCCCTCTTACTCTCCTGCCCTGCCTTTCCTTCATGCTGCCAAAAAAGAACAAACCAGGAGATTTCAAGGGGAAAGCTTTTTTATTTCCTGAAAATTGGGGTATCTTCAAGGTGATGTAAGCCACGCTTGCCCTTGGCTCCCACCTTTCCTGGGAGGTGCAGGATGGAGCCCAGGGTGCAGCACCAGGGCTGACACAAAATTGGGCTCCTCCTGCTGCTGCAGGACCCCCCCAAACACCCCCAGGAGCCTCCTGGGACCGGGGGAGCTGATCTGGGGTTCCCAGCTACTCCTTTCCCTCCCACTCCTGCATTTTCCCTCCTTCTCTTGCAACAGCTCTCAGTGCACATTTAGCAAACACATTCCCACTATCAAATTTTAATAGGCTTTAATTTTCTCTCTGTCTTTGCATCTCCAAAGAAGGTGACATGAATTTCACTGGCAATTATATTCTGAGTAACCCAATTAGTCCTGAAATACAGAACATGAACATGGTGTGTTTCTAGATCTCATTTATTTTTCTTGTACTTTTTTTTTTTAATTTTAAAAGCTTCTTTTTTCCCTCTGGCTATTCTCTGCTGATTATTAGATATAAAAAGATTATATTGATGTCTGTAAAAGCATGTTTATTTTATAAACTACAGCTGTAATTTTATTTCAGGGTCAATGCCTGGCAAAGAAAAGGGCAAAAAGGCACATATGTTAGAAGTATGAAAAAATAATGCTTAGACTACCAGTGAGTTGCTACTCACCTGCCCTGATTCCAAATGCAAGAACAGGGAATAGAGCTCAATTACAGCCCAATAATTTTTCAAATCTTGAAGTAAAAAAAGCCAAAAAAAGCCAAAAAAAATACAAAAAAAAGGACAAAAGACAAGAAAAGACAAAAAAATCTAAAGGAAAAAATAACTATGCAGAACAATTTTGCTGTAGCAAGATTTTTCCAAGATTCATATGGAATTCAACAAATATAAGGATTTTTAAAGGTACCAAAAATATACAGATATATAGCATGTACCCCACAGAAGGAACATGCATGAAACTTGATGTCTTCAGGAATTCCTGGGGCTTTCACTGTAAATTTCACTGTAAATTACAGTTTTCACTGTAAATTGCTTAAAAAATACGGTGGAAATTGGTATCGCCCTCTGCAACATTAAATAATAAAGTTGATTGTAAAGAAGACTTTTCTTCTCCTGGATTGTGCATACTCTCCTGTTGGAAATATATTTAATTTGTCTGTTTTGGTATGAACATTTTTCTTTGTTTTGGTAGAAAATCTCCTTAGATTTTCTTTCCAAGGAGGGAATCAGGTGCAGCCCTTCAGCTTGGTAAAATGAGCATGATGTGAGTGAGCAGTGAGCTGGGACCACAGGTGCTGAGGGCACACAGGTTCACACAAAACTCTATTTAAGGAAGGAAAATTCACTTGTGGGGTGGAGAATGTGACTAATGCCACTCAATATTAGATTTTAACTAGAAAATGTGGTTTTTGTTACATATTGTGAACTACGTTAGACTTAAAATAGAGCTAGTGAGCAGTGATGGGGAAAATGTTTTGGCTTTCTTTGCTAGGTCCTACAGGTATTCCCTGGATGTGGTGTGGGGATTGGAGCAAAATGGAGAGTGAGGACCCCAGCTGTGTGCAGTGAAGGCAAAGAGCTCCTCAGGAGACATTTTGCACAGAGATAAAGGCTGCTGACTCCCCTCTCTGATCAGATTTGGGGTCAATGACTCTCAAACACAATTTTCCTGATGGAGCAGGAGGAGGAAAGCCTCCTGATGGAGGAAAGACTTTCCTGTTCCTGTATCTCTTATGTTTTCTCCAATCTGATTTTCAGGCTTGCAATGATGATGACTCCTGGTTTTTTATTTATTTATTTTTTTTAATCACAGAATTTAAAACAATCTAGTTAAGGACACAGACAAACAGTCCCCAAGAGAGGACTGGGAACAGGAGATACGTGCCAGATTTTCTTTTATCATGAGTTTTCAAAGCTCATTTCTTGGTATAAATCTTCCATATCAAAAAATAAGTTGCCACTTTTTCATTTCTTGTTATGGTAGAAAGAGAATGTTTGGAATATAGAGAAACTTAATATTGGATTTGCACCAGGGAATGAAGCCAGGGGATCTGGCCAGGAAATAAATGCTCTGAAAAATGGGCACATCCAGGATGGCAGTGGCTGAGGGGTAAAATACTGGGGATTTTAAGATTTTTTGCAGTATGAACAACTCTGTGAAATACAATGAATCCCTGACAAGTGGTGTGGTTGTTTTTTTAAGCAGCTCTGAAAACTGTCCAGGATCCTCTTCTAATTCTGTCTATTTTGCAAACAACCACAGGGCAAACTCAGGGCAGCTCTGTTCTAGAGAGATGCATTCTCCAAACAGGGCTGCTAATATTAACATATCCCCAGAGCCAAGTTTGCAAGTCTGAAGATGCCCTTGTGAAGCAATGAGATGCTAAATAAATCAAACTATTATCCCTATAATCTGTCCTGTGTCCAACACTGGGAGAAGCAGGTGCATCCTCTCAAAAAGCTTTCATGAAGAGTTCTTTCTCTGCATTTTTGGACACGATTACTTTGCAGTGAATGGATATATTTGGGAATTTTGTAAATAAATTATATGATAGAACAATCATAAAAAAATGCTAGAAGCTACCACACAGGTCTCAAGAAACTGTTCAAAAAAGGAATTATTTTTCTTTACTTCCAAGCAATAGCAGCATGGTCTCTAGATGCATTTGCACACTTGTTTTTTTCTCTTACCAGCTGTTGCCCTTTTGGACCCCAACCAGCATACTGAAGCTTTGCATTGCTGACCTCAGGGGGATACAAATTCTGGGGATCCCTGCAAAAAGAGAAAAATAAGATTTCAGCTTCAGAAATGTCCTTGTTTCAGCTGCTGCACAGCTGTGCTTTGGAAATACACCACAAACTTGTAAGATGCCTTTCAGCCAGGATTCAGCAGACTTTTTTAACAGTAAGGTAAACACTAGCAAGTGTTGGTAAGATCAAGCATTTAAATGGCAATTTCTGTTTCTTATTAATAAGAAGCTAAACATATCAGTTCCACTGCTGACTTGCCTAAGCCTTAAGAATTAGTTCAGGGATGGCAAACAATGTAATTGTAATTATCAACTCTGATCATGTCCACAAAGGATAAACAATAATTCTATATTTTAATCCTACTGCCACAAGGAAAATAAAGTTTCGTCTTCTGCACCCAATGACTCTTCTGCCTCATAAATTTCCTTTGAATATGATGGAAAAGATTAGCAACTGTATGACAACTGATACATAGCCTGGCTTCAAAGGGAAAAGCTCCTATTAACACAAAATTTCTAATTTTTTAGAAAATAAAAATGCTTTTCTTGTTCTTTCATCCATTACCCTCATTTGGTAGCAGAACACAAGTGACACACAGCAAATGCAATATAGAAAAAGGAGGCTTTTTTGGTAAATGTCAAAGCAGCATAATGTCATTTTCTCCCAGCACAGATAGCATTGCCTTAAATGTATTTATACTCAGCACAAATAATTACATTATATATTCTGAAATCACATTGCAACAACCCTGTGTATCGTAATATCCTACAAACAAGAACTCTAATAAAGCCTGTATAAAATGTGCCTCGTTAGAAAATCTCAAACTGCTTGAAAAAGTGAGGCTATTATCATCACTGGTTTACAGACAGGAATAACAAGGCAATTTGAGGCCAACATCACCAAAAACCAGAGAAAAGAGCCAAACCCTGCCTGGCCTTTAAGCAAAAGGCCTTGCACAGTGTTTTGCAGAGCATGCTTTCAAAACAGAACAGAGCTGCATGCAGTAATTCAGCACAAAGTGAATTCTCTTTGTGAAAAACACCAATCACTTGTTTGTCAAATTTTAATAGTTTTAAAGTTTAATAGTAATAAAATGGTTATAAAAATAGCAATACAATTAGAGTAATAAAAATTTTGGACAATTTGGATTAGGACAATATGAGACAATAAGAACAAAGAGTTATGGACATCTGGGTACCTTTCTCTGGGCAAAATAAGCCCAAAAAAGGACCCACGTTAACAGAGGATTAACCCTTAAAAACAACAGCCTGTTGCATATTCATACACCTCATACATGATGCATAAATTCCATTCAAACACAGGATTCTGTCTGGGCAGTGTCAGCTTCTTCCTCTGAATCCTGACAGCATCTCCAGTCCTGAGTGAGGTGGGAAGAAGTTCATTTCTCCTGATAATGGAGCAATAAATTATCTTTCTCTGAAAGATTTAGGTGTCCTGTGGCTGCTATCTCACTGTGAGTCCTTTCTTTAAAAAAGTATCCTACATAGCATAGTTTCTATTTTAACATTTTGTTATAACCTAAAACTATATTTAATACACTACTTAAGAGAACTAATACAGTATAACTTTCTAACACAGCACATACAATATTCATTTTAATATTTGCAAAAAGCCAATCATAAAATACGCATTTTTCACATCTTTATTGCCTTTTTGGGGCATGGTGCAGCCTCCCAGTTACAGTCCCTGGGCTGCTCCTTCCTCTGCACTGGGGCTCTTGGAGCAAGGACAGCACAGCAGCAAGAGGGATGCTCAGAACTGGCTTTGTGCAATCTTCCCACTCTCATTTCCTCTGAGCTGTTCAAAGGCCAGCCAGAATCAGGGCAGACCCAAGGTGGGGACCCTGATGGCCACAGGTTCCCCCTTCCATCACTCCTGCAGGTGGAACCCTCACAGTAAAGCTGGAGGTTGGATGGAGATGGGATGAACAGAGGATGTGGAGGGGCAGGAGGGGTTTGTTGAGGCACTGACACTTCAAAGTCTGAGTGTACCATAAGGGACCCAGACAGCTTTCATTTCTACATGCAAAATGTCATCCACAGCTGCTGCCTGTAGAGCAAAATTGTGTCTTTTATTATGCTTTTTACCTAGAAGGTGTCTTTGTGAGCAGCCTAAAGTCGTTTTCTGTAAGGTATGGATAAGAGAACTCATAATGCTCATACTGAGAGCAGCCACAAAATTGCCTTTGCTGTAGAGAGATGAGGCACACCACTTGTTCTGGATTGTGTGTGTTAGCTGCTTAAATTTCCAGTCAGCTATGCCTGTTAGGAATCAATCTCTCTGGTTAGCTGTCTTGATTATCTTAACAGAGAGTAACCTCTGAGGGTAGAAGGAAAAGAGAAAAACAGTGAATCAAATCAAAACCTCTTTTGGGAGAAAAAATAGCACTTCACTATTTGTCAAATGAACTATCTAGTTCTTGGGTTATTTTACCCATGGTGAGAAGAAGAGCAAGAAATTACAAATAGAGGGGGAAATACCATCCCTAAATAAACAGATTATACAAATTGTAAGAATTTAAAGCTGAAATGCTTCACATAACACAGGTGGAGCTAAGGGACAGACGTGCCAAATACAGCAAATAATTCATACCAGAGCACACACAAGTCCTGTCAGTTCTGTTCATTGCATCATCTTTTGGAAGAGGAAAACTCTAACTCAGTGAAAAATGCTGCATAAACCAGCTTTGGTAGCTGATAAGACAGAAGGAAAAGCAAAGAGTTGTGCTGCAGACAAAAAAGAAACCAAAAAAACCCCCAAAAATCCAAAACAAAACAAAAAGCAAAGTCATCTCATTCTTTGGTATAGCCAAGGAAAGCCAGAATTGCATCTCCTGAGTTCTTTCTAAGTTGTTTCATATGGCTGGGAAGCTTCTTTTGTAGCAAAATCTTGTGTACATCCATGCTCATGCTGTGAGATATTTCCTTCTACCACAGGCTATGAAAGCGGACCAAAATCCCAGTTTTTCCCCCACAAATGCTCCTAACTGATGCACATATTCATCTTGGCTTGTTTCTCATCTTTTGAGGAGAATCTTCTCTGAAGCAGCCACACTCACTCATCCACCTGCAGCAAAGCTCAGGGCCATGGGCAAGGGGTTGAGAGGATTTTCCTGGCCAAGCCTGACCTCTCAGGCTCCAGACAAACCTCAGCAGTTATCTGGAGCTGGGCTGCACCAGCAGTGGCCAGGGGAACCTGTGCTGTCAGCAGGCCCAAAGGTGGCATAGAAATGGAGCTCACTCACTCTGTGAAAGCTCAAATTCCCACAGATGTGTTTGGGCTCCATTTGATGCATGCTCCATGGTGGAATATGCATGGACTCCTGCTCTGGAAGCCCCAGACAACCCATTCCAAACCCATTGTCAAGGACTCACAGATGCAAACCCATTATCAAAGACTCACTCACAGGTAGCTTTGGGTTGGAAAGGACCCTAAAGGTCATCTCATTCCAAGCCCCTGCCATGGGTAGGGATGCTTCCCACTCTAGTAGGCTTCTTCAAGCCCCCTTCAGCCTGGCCTTGAACACTTCCAGGGATAGGGCATTCTCTGGGCAAATTGTGTCCTAACTGACCATAAGTTAACTTCTCTGGGATATTTTATCAGCCAGAGAGAGAAGGGGGAGGGAGAATAGTCTACACAGATGCTCTGGGCAGGACTGGCATAACTCTGTGATGCTCTCTTTGAGAAAGCTCTTAGGGATCCTCAAACTGAAAAACCCTTTTGGAGAGCATTTATCAACCACATTTCCAATTATCTCGTGCTACTTGGGAATTTAACTCTCCTTTGTTAAATTCCTGTAGGGGAGTCAGGCCAAATGCACACCTGTGTGCCAGGAGCACTCTTCCATTTTACAGATAAATGGCATCTCATGCCACTCAGCTTCTTCTGGGAAGTATGTTATTCCTATTAAGCTATAGCCCTCCACAGCTAAACCCTTCCTTCTCCTCCAAAACAGCCTGCTTAAAATTCCCCTGTACTTTTTCCCCCGAATCAATCAATATTATGGGTCATCTCAGCCTCTCTGAAGAGCCAGTGCTCCTCACAGACCCTCATAATTAGGGCTTGTTTGGATTTGAGCCTGTCCCTTGTGAGCTCATTTGTGCAGGATGCTGGCTTGGAAATGGGCAATTCTGAAGGCAGTCTGTACATCTCTGGCTCCTGGTTTGGATGAAGGAACAAGTTCGCTGCATCCTCACAATATTTTCACTATTTCCTCCCAAAAAACAACCTTAATCTTAATTTCTGGCCAAAGAACTGGCAAGACCTTATTAAACTGTTGCCATTATTCCTTCCACTTTTAAAATGATTGAGCTGAGAAAGAAGGGAATAATACATTTTAGACCAGACAGAAGATGGAGCAGGTGCTACATAAACTCTTCCACATTAAAATGACATTGTCTGGACCAGAGACTGTTAAATTGCTCCAGACACGGGCATGACCTCAGCACCATGTTCAAAAACCATTTCTGAGGTAATAAATTGGGAAATTTTCTCATTTAAGTGAAGTTTTATTGCCAAAAAGTCTCCCCTCAAAATTTCCAAACAAGGAAAGTTCCTGAGTGCAGGCAGAGTGCTGACTGCCAAGTCATCTTTGCTTGCAGTTGAGCTCAGAACAAGATGTGGAATAAAACAAACTAATCAATCATGTGTTACCTGCATTTGACTTTAAAAATTACAGTGATTAATGAGGAACTTGTTTGAAAGAATTTGTCCTGTTTTTTTCTGAAATTTTTATATCTGTATGTTCCCTCTTCTGACATTTTCTCCTAAAGAAGGCAGATTTCCCTCAGAGACATTGTGGCACTGGTTCTCCTTCTGAGCAGAAACATGATTAACTCTTCTATATAAAGTTCTTCAAAAGCAACTTAAAAATACCCATAAATTTTCCCCTGTAATTGAGGGAGTGGCTCCCTTTACTTCAAGAAGAATATTTTACAATGTGAGACTGAAAATGTCTGAAACTGATAAAAGCAGTCAGATTCTGGGATATGGTATAAGCTG